GGCAGGAGGTAGACCCGAAACGGCCAGAAAACGCCTCAAAGTTATTAGAAAGTGGGAGCGAGGGGGAGCCCCTTCCTGTTCGCGAGGAAGCGGGATGCGCCGAGGGGCTTCATTTTCCCTTGAGAGGGCAGGGAGGGGGAGCTGCCACGGGCACAGGATGAGGTAATTCAGCAGCGAGGTGCACCGCGTTGCAGCTGCAGGTCGGCGGCTGTCAAAGGCCGCTGCGTCAGAAGAGAAAACCCGCGTTTGAAAGGGTGGTCGTCTTCGTCTCGCAGCCCAGCTGGCGGGCTGCGTGCTAGGGCGAAGCTGTCATGTGCCATTATTGCTGCAAGAGCTGGGCTGCAACCCTGAAGCAGCCAAACTGAGTAGGGATTCTCTTCTGCCTTTAGCCAGGCTCTTCTCAAATAAGCTTCAAGCTTTTCCCCCCTGCCCCCATGCCCAGAAAGAGCAAAGAGTGGGGACCACAAAACCACTATTGGCCCTATCGTCCATGCTAATTCTATTTTTGTTGACTACATGTTGAATTCTTCTTTATTTCAGAAATGAGTTGGTATGGGAGAGAGATTACGTTTAGCTTGATCTGGCTGTATAGCAACAGTAAACGTAGTGTCTTTAGGTTCGGCAATCAAATATTGCAGGCTGTACTGATAAAGATGCTGAAAATCAAGCTACTGAAAACTAAAAGTCAGAATTTTCAGTACGGAGATGTAATAAATAAGAACATTCTCTGGACCCACAACGTAAGGGAGTTGGGCGATACGAACTTTGATAGTCACCCAGTAACATCGCTAATAAAACGTGTATCAGCATTATAATCTGGTGAAACCAGCCAGCACTGGATGAAAAACAGAAACAATTTTAAATATAAACTGATAGCCTTCCATGAGGAAGCTAACGTAGCTATTAGTAATGAGAACGGGAAGCAGAATTTGATAAGAGTTTACTGCTGCTCAACTTAAGTGGGCCAAAAAGGAAGATGTTATTCACAGTTTCAGCTGGAGATATCTTATCAGCATACAGTAGACAGGAGAGAAAGGGGTCAACCGTTCTATTACCAACAGAAATACAGAAACGAATACTTTCAAAGAACCCAAGAGCGATGTCAGTATAATGTCTTTGGCTTATGTGCAGCTAAGACTGAATATCAAATCATGCATAAGGAGAAATGCATATTACCAGAAAACAGTAAACAATAAATAACAATAAAACAATAAATGCTAGTGAGAATTGCACAATATTGAGTGTCCACAGTACTTTGAAGGAGATAGATAAGATGCAACTTAACCTAATAGAATCATTGTGTGTTGCTGATAATCTCAACCATTTATCTTATAGTCCAGGGGTTTAAGGGAATGATTAGTTTGCAGTGCAGCTGCCAGTGGCTGAGAGACTTGATACTGAGAAGGCGAAATGATGTAAATCCAGCCAACATAAGCAAGACATGGGAGTGAGGGGATATAGGAAGCAATGACAGCTTTATATCATGATCAAGAATGTGTTACAAGGTTTACTCACTGCTGAGAATTTCAAGAAAATGATGCATAAATGCCAGCGCTTAGCTAAACAAATCATTTCTGTAAGATTATGATGCCTTTTGGGGATGAGTCCCAAAAAATAGTTTGGCTTGCTAGGATTTGTCAGATGTCATTAATGACAGACTAACACTAGAAGTATTTCTAGTCAGTCAGACAGATTTAGGCTCTATGTAAAAGAGACACGTACAGTTCTCACTTGCAATTGAGACAGCTGGAATCAGGGAGAGGCTGTGACATGAGTTAAGGAGAAACAGAAGCCAATACCTTTCCTTAGAGATAAACGTGAATAAATCAGATTTACTCACTAAGCTGCATAATGGTTAAACGATATTGCTACAACATATTCTAGAGCTAAATAGAATATTGCCAATATATCAAGATGGACTGGAGGTATATTTTAGAATTGATCTCTTCATAACAAATATGATCCAACAGCGCTGTAGAAACAAAACAAATTCAGCTGCTTAATACTAAGGAGGGGATGAAAGTCCTCTCATGGCTGTAGGCAAGAGAACTCTGTTCATTTGCTGCTTCTGAGCTCAGTTCTCTGACTCAGCTTACGTTGACAGTTCTAGTAATAGGTCAACTTTAGATGAAATAAACTATTTAATGATTGCAATGTTTTCTTTCCTACTTTTACTGTAAACACTATATAATGTTATAAAACAGCTGCTGCAGTAATTGAAGTATTCACTCATAACATCAGTAATGGAAGGAGAGAGGTACCTTTGCTTTTTGCACAGCAGCGGGAAGAAAAATATTTATCAAAAGGGAAAAAAAAAGTCACTGTAAAACAACAGCAAAAACAGCATACAAGATTAGGTCCTAACATTACCTCTAAACTATGAAATTAACTATATTTCAAATGTACTCAGTGCCTCACCAAACTCTCTGGGAATATTTATGGTTTGTTTGCTTCATATTTTAGTTCAAAGAGGCTGCAACAGAAGTATTTAGTGTGTGTATCTGAATACCACAGTACTGAGTGGTACTCGGTACTCATTTCTGTGACCGCAGACTGCCTTCTCTGCTTCTCAAATATGGATAAAAGCGTTGGCTGATCCCTTTGTCCGTTTGGTTTTATTTTTTCACTTGGCTTCGTGTTGCCATTAATAGTTTGCCCGTGGCTATCAGTTTAAACTGAGCTTACGAACAACACAGCCGAGTGGAAGCTTTAGCTTCTCTAGTAGTTGTTTTAATTGTGTATTCTTTTTTTAATAGGAATTGCAGTAGGATGAAAGGGAATTCTTGCTAATGGACCACTGTTGAGAATATTTGGGACTCGTGAGAAAGATTTTGAAAGCTTGAGCCACGTCGGACTGGAATCATGTTAAACAAGCCAGTGCTGGTGGAATCGCTGATCGTGTTCATCGTTGTTCTGTGTGTGCACATGGTGGTGTGGGACCGGTATTCCTGGTGCACTATAGCTCTTGCCGTCCAGGCTTTTTATGTCCAATTCAAATGGGACCGTCTGCTCCAGCTGGGTGGGGCTGTATTCCAGTTTCGTACAACAGCGAACAGTGGCCTCCTACCAGCTAGCATGGTCATCCCCTTGTTGGGAATAGTGATGAAAGAGAGATGCAAGTCTGCTGGCATTGTGTACTTTGAACGTTTTGGCATAGTTGTAGCTTCCACTGGCATGTTGGTTGCTCTCTTTCTGTCTGTAATAGCGGTTGGCATCACAAAACCTGTACCAACCAACACTTGCATACTTACTGGTGTTGCTGGCAGTATAATTATCTATACCATGAAGCACTCTTTGACTGTTTCAGAAGTGATAGAGGTCCTAGAAGTGCTGCTAATTTTTGTCTACCTCAGTATGATCTTGCTGTACGTGTTGCCTCGATGTTTTACTCCTGGAGAAGCATTGTTAGTTCTTGGGGGTATAAGTTTTGTGCTCAATCAGCTCATTAAACGCTCACTGAACGTAGTCGAGAGCAGAGGTGATCCCATAGACTTTTTTCTTCTGGTGGCAGTTGTTGGAGTTGTTCTTCTTGGGATTTTTTTCACTGTTCTCTTCGCTTTCATGGATTCAGGTACCTGGATCTCCTCCATGTTTTTCCACATGATGACAGCAGTGCTAGGCCTAGGGGTCATTATGCCTTGGCTTTACCGGCTGATCCAGAGAAATCCTTTGTTCTGGCTACTCCAGTTTCTATTTCAGACGCAAACGAGAGTTTACCTTCTTGTATATTGGACCGTGTTGGCTGCTTCAGCATGTGGTATAGTTTTCTACCAGAACGCTAAAAGATCATCTGAGTCTAAAAAACACCAGGCCTCAACCATAACCAGGAAATATTTCCATTTCATTGTGGTAGCTACTTATGTCCCCGGACTAATTTATGACCGCCAGCTTCTCTACATTGCTGCAGTATTGTGCCTGGCAGTATTTATCTTCTTAGAGTACATTCGATACTTCAGGATCAAACCATTTGGCCAAACCCTTAGGCATTTACTGTCTCTCTTCTTGGATGAACGAGACAGTGGACCTCTAATCTTGACTCATATTTATCTTCTTCTTGGCATGTCCCTCCCAGTGTGGTTGTTTCCAAGACCTTGCGCTCCTAAAGGTGTCTTGTCTGGGGCAGGAGCGTTGGTCCCCTATTCTGGGGTACTGGCTGTAGGAGTAGGAGACACAATGGCCTCAGTATTTGGCAGTGCAATGGGAGAAATCAAATGGCCAGGAACGAAGAAGACCTTTGAAGGGACGATGACAGCTATTTTTGCCCAGATCATTGCTGTGGCTCTCATTCTGATCTTTGACAGCAGCGTGAATCTGAACTCTAGCTATGCCTGGATTCTGGGGTCTGTGAGCTTAGTTTCTCTTTTGGAAGCTTATACTACCCAAATAGATAATCTGCTCTTGCCTCTCTACCTCCAGATAATGTTAATGGCTTAGAAGCATTTCCAGATACAGAGGCTTCTCCCTTTCCAGAGAAAAGCGGTAATAGAATATGCACGGTACTGAGAAATTCAAAGTCTGTCTAAATACTACATTTGATACAGCAAGTAAAATTGTTAAACACACAAATGGAAAAGCACTATTTAAAATAAAGGCTTTGTTTTGGTCTCCTATTTTTCCCACTCCCCTCTTTAAAACAGGGCAAATTGTTTTATATTCTCATAGGAACACAAACACAAGTATGCATTTGGTTACTAAACCACAAACTCTATTTCCAAGTCTCTTCTGGGTGTCCAGAGGCAGAGGGCGTAAAGGAAAAAAAGAGGTAAGTCAATTAGATGAAAAAATAATCAAACCTCTCCAATTTTGCTACATCTGCAGTGCGTAAAAGCCAGTTTATAAAACTTGTTCCACTGTACTGAGTCCTGCCATCCTTGTATTATTGAATATGTGAACTCCTCCTGTTTCTGTATAAGCACTATTTAAAGCATGCTTTTATAATGAGGGTGGGCACTATCTGCAACACAGTGACTAAGACCGTCCTCATGCATCCAGTCACCATCAACAACAGCCATATTAATGCATTGCAATGTGTTGATGTGACTTCAAGTACGGTGGGTGGTGGGGGGTGGGGGGGGGGGGGGAGAAGGGTGTCAGAGAACGCAGACTATTCCAGACAATACTGACAGGAGAGTCAGAAGTTTAGCCCTGTAGGTTTGTGTGACAAGAAAGATGTTCTACATTTTTCAAAATTATGATCTCTAAATTTATTTGAAACAATATTTAATAGAGGGGAGAAAACTAAGCAAACTCATTGAAAAACTAATTGCACATTAACTGTGTGAGCAGAAGGTACGTTGAAGTCAACATACTTCTCTAGTACTGCTACAGTTCTCCACTTTCAGCATTTTTTTTCAGCTTAAATTGCCAGGAAGTAGTTTTCCAGTTAGCTGTTTAATCAAAAATCTTTTATGAAGACATGTCTATTGACAAATTGAGTAAAGCCACCTACTTTTGTCCATTTCATTAAAATTATAGCTACTCTTCTACAGCAAAAGTGCACCGGGCTGGCAGAATGAGCCAAGAACACTAGTCCCAGAATCTAATAGAGATTGCACTTGTCCCTGGAACAAGCCAGGACTCGAACAGCGTTGCCCAATCTCCTCCTTGCCTGGGTGGGACTCCTGAGATCCGATACTGAGGATTTCAAAAATAGTTCAGCCATTGTTTTTGTTAATGAAGTAAACAGATTTTTTTTTTTTTTTCAAGATACTTTTGCTAGGAAAGCAAATGCAGTAATTGCGCAGGACAGTTTTCCTTCACACTTAACCATAAATCCTGCAAATTCAATCTCAATTTTTTGCTTTTCTTTATACACAAAACCGTCTTGTTCAAGTAAGTGGCAGGTAGTGGTGCATATAATCAGAGGACAAACTGTCATTACTCAGCAGAAAGGTGCTATTCTAAAAGATTAACTCCTCCAATTAAAAGATACAGAAAAAGCTTTAGTTGCTCTCATCATGAGCCACAGCCTTCACTCCTTGACAAAACACTTCACCATGATGATTTATATACTACTGAAGTCATAAAAATAGCACCAAAATTAGACACTCCCCTCCCTCCTGCTCATAGCTTTCAAACAAACTCTAGAAAGGTAAGAAAGGCCAGAACAGCCACTTGTTACCAGCAGAAACTTTGAACTCAAGGTTACTGCGGTTGCCCTTACCCAGCTTCTAATTCCTACTACAATAATTTTAGATCTATGAAAAATTCCTTGTCATAGGGACAAGGCATAGTGCTGCCTCGTCCAGCAAAGCCCAAAAGGATGAAAGGAAACTTCTCATCATAAACAAACTTAATTTGACTATTTCATGTCAGACAAATGCCACAGGCAGGCAATATACAGACTCATCCTTTTGAAAAGTAAGAACTGGCACCTAGCTCCCAAACTAATTTACTTTGACAGAGACTATAAGATAGAGAACAAATGGATATTTTCAAGCCCATTCTGCCTTCAGCAGAGCAAGATTCATCTAGTCTAACTGGGCACTGGCAGGGCTGGTTTAGCTTTCTTTGCAAGTGATTTTTTAGAAGTTATGCAAAGTTTGGGGTTTTATTCTACTTGTGCAATTTTGGTTTTTGCATCAAGCTTTTCTAGTCAGGCATAAGTTTTACTTTATTTCCTTTTAAAAGGAGTATTATGGTTCTTAATCTCCTTAATACGATTCGGACTGTATTTATACAAGATTTGACTGCTAGGCTAAAAGAAATCTGGATCCAAAATGTCTAAGAAAAAAATAGTTTTAAATATAAAGATTAGTCCTAGACTACCTTGGCAGTGCATTCCTTGATGTTGGAGTTGAACTGGTCCACAACACATGAACTGACTGCTTATCGAACAGCTCAGCCAGAAAAGTTCATTATTGATCAGCCATATGACTGCTGTTCAGCCTTTCTGCTGTCTTGATATCCGCTTGCATATAGGTTTCTTACTACTTCAGTCTCCACAGCTCAAAAAGGTGTTGCCTGCAGCTTTATTCTTCTTTAAATCCCTGTTCTTTCTTCCCAGGACTGCATGTTGTCTTTCTCTTCTTATTCTTCAACAGCATGATTTCCAAATATGCAATTGATACTAAGCACTCAAAGAGTAAAAGAAAAAAAAGGAAATATTATCTAGGAGATGAAGTACCTCATCTCCTGAATTCTGCCTCAGTTTTGCTTTAACAACTTGGTTGGCCTCAGAAGTTTGCTAGGGGACACTTAACTCCAGACTACATGACAGTGCTTAGAAGTAATCACATTATCATTGATCAGAGCATTTCATTCCTATAATCTCTTCCTTCTCCTTGTTTCCTTTCCTTCTGTGCTTTAGTTTCTCTGTACCTAATACAGCACTTCTGAGCTGTTATGGATCTGGCATCTCTAAAGCACCCTGGGAACTACTGTGAGAGATACCATCTATTGCCGTTTCTAAGAAATGCTGCATGTGCTCTGCTGAGCTGAACTAAATCATGTTGTCAGCTATAATATATTCTGTTCTCAAATGTATAGTGGAAGAGCAGCAACTCTCTGTAGATATTAAACAAATACCTAATGGCATCATGCATCATTTGTGTCAAGTAGAATATACTCTATCAGAATTTATTCCTATAAAATTTAGTCAGAAATGGCAGCCACCATAGCATGGCTGGTCAGCGACAACACCGATAAACAGCTAAGTAACAATTCAAAGCGGAGTGGAATTTCACAGCAGCTACAGGCATATCTGCATGGTCTTTGGCAAGAAAATACAAGCTCACCTTGCCAAGGCTCTGAGCAGTCTTAAGGTTATAACATTGTAGTTAGTGCACTGATGAGACTAGGCTCGTAACGGGGTTGCCAGCACACCAGTGCCAGTGTGATTAAATCTACATGGCTTCTGTTTGGTTTAAGGATACAGGCATGCGGTTGCCTCCAGTGTAATTTATGTAACATTCCTTGGGTTTCATCTTCCTATAGGTTTGTTTTTTTTGTTGAGGTTTTTGGGCTAGTACCTGTTCTTGTGCATGTTTAGAGTCAAAAAGCAGTTATCGCGTATCTTTGCTCTGGCCTAGTATATTGGGAGAAGGTCCCATGATGTCCTCCTCAAAGAGGATATGAATGAGTAGAAAATGAGGATTTTTTTTATTTAAGTGTTATGAAGACAAAAATTCAAAAACTCATTATAACTTCAGCATGAATCCTTAAGATCTGTAAATATTTTTAATTAACAAGAGTTAAACCTAGAGAGCAAACACTCAGCTGCAATTTGCCAGAAATAGTCAGAAGAATGATTATATGAGTAGACTCCCTGCTTCATTTTGCCCACAATAGAATTATTTTTGATTAGTATTATTCAAGCGGTAAGACAGAGCTAGGGTTGAAAGTCAGCCATCTTCAGAAGACAGATTCACCTGTGCTGCTAGGATAAACCCAACCATGTAAGTACACAGGACATGAGCTCTTGACGTAACTAGAAGAAAATATTAAGCATCCTAGAGAAGAAACACTTCTTAACTGGTCCCACAGTCAAGGTGCAATGGCCTTTACAGGCCCGTTCCCCAGACTGAAGAAGTTTCCTTACCAAAAGGACTGGGAGACTATTGTCAGCACTAGTAGGGCTGATGCTGTAGTAGAGAGCGTGGCATATGCAGCTATGTGAAGATTCCTCTTCCTCAGCAGAGCATAAACGAGTCTGAGAGCTGATCTAGTGAAAGTGATATTTGAGGGGAACAGGAACAAGCAATCAGCAAGGAGTATTGAACAACTATTTGACTCCAGAAGCCAGACACCGGTTTCAGGTGTAGAGTGATGGAAAAGGCAGTTCAGGAGTCGGCTGAAGCCTACGAAGTAAAGAAGAGTTAAAACCAAAACTTCAGAGGCTATTCCAGTTCTGATGTGAAATCAATGCTAACTGAGGTACTACTGACAGAAACTAACTGTTCCCAAAGGAGCATTTCACCTTGCAGCCCCTGGGGCAAGATCTGATACAGACAATGCCTGCCTAGCAAGAGTAAAAAAACAAACGTTTTACAACTCTTCAGTTTGAAGATTACAAGTTGAGTAGTTCTGTCTTTCCAGCACTCAGTTGTTTATCTAGTGTAAATTGCTTTAATTGGGAGGCACCCCTGAGGCATGTAACTGATTGCGGTTTTTGCCTCATAAAAGCATGCATTGTGAATTTCAAGCATGAGATTTTTTTCCGAGGCCCACGTGCTTATTGCATATGACCTAGATAAGTCATTAGAAACACCAAGATTTGACAACTTCAAAGCTTTTATTAGCCAAAATTTTTAAGGAATATGGTTCTCATTCTTTGTTTTCTTAAATTTTGTTCTGTTCCCAAGAAATCATTGCCTGTTGTGCTGCAATCCAGGTATTGCAAATGAGTTTTATCGCTAGTTGAAATCAAGCGGATCCGGTTGTACAATACTAGGGAATGCCAGTCAGTAGAGACACAATACTCATCTCTCCTGAGAAGGTGCTGTGAGCTGTACTTGCTCCTGAACTAGAAAAATCTTAGGACTAGTACCGCAATTGGGCTGGTGGAGAGCAAAGTTTGAGAACATACTCAGAGATCATACTGGAAAGCTACTCAGCATTTCTTTAGATAATGCTGTGGCCAGCACAGCTCTGCCCAATGCAGAGAACAGCTTCCTGCATGTATTGACAGCGTTGTGCTGCGAGTGTGACATGCAAGAAAACCAATAAAGGCTTATCTTGGTTATTGCATTGAGAAGGCTCTGGTTTCTTCAGTTACCTGTTACAAAAGTGACCTTACCAGTTCTCTTTGCTCCAGCTGGTATCTTTGGCTTCCATCACATGGAAGGTGAAGGCGTGGCGAGAAGACTCTGACTTGTTCAGTTCACTCTTATGGACAACTTCACCATGGATAAGAACAAGCCCACCTATTTGAAAGAAGTCTATTGTGCTTTTGTTTTTCCAAAAATTCAGGGCTACCTTTAAGAGTGACGATCAACATAAGAACAACTCCAAGCAAGGAGATCTTGTTTGGCGGCGATTTTTACCTTTACTTATAGGCACAGGTATGAATTGGTTGTCATCATAGGTCGGGTCTGACCCTACGAACTCTACACACGTTGAGGTACCTGGTGGGGCACGGACCATTCTCCGGGTAATTCCATCTGCAAATCCACAGAACACACACACACACACAGACACAAAAATTAAAAAGCTAACTAGATTTTACGCAGGAGTGGAACATCAGATTTCTCTTGGCACTGATTAGAACTTTATTACTACAGTTTATTCCATTCTTTCCTTAGTACTTTGGAGGTTTTTTTCCATTAAAGATTTAGGTTTTTCCAGTTGTGGCAGAAAGTGATACAGCTGCTCTTTGTTTGCCCTTCTGGCATTGCAACACAGGCCTGTAGGAATACAAATGGTCATACACTTATGCAAAGCCAACCTTTGGTCCATTTCTCCTTTCTATTATAGCATAAATTGCAATTTGAGTGCAATTGACGCCAAAATTTGAGCGTCTTCGTATTTTAAAAGCAGTGCGATTCCTCTGAGTAAATGCTTAGGTGAACAGCAGTTTGAAGATGAAGAAGTATGCCGTATAGGTATTGAAATAAACACAGAACTGCTAATAACCTAATAGTGGCTAGAAGTATATGGCATCTTCCATCAGTCACAACAGATATTGCACAAGTTAGTTTTGATCAGGTTTAGTCTGTGCATTCCCCTGAGCCACTGACTGTTCCCTGATTGATTGGATGCTCTCCAAGTGATCCTTGTGTAGACTGGGAGGCTTTCTTGTTTACTGAAATTCAGACCAGTATTTGACAGCTGTGTGTGGGAGAGGACTTTTATTCCCCTTAAACAGCATCATCAGGAGTAAAAATGTTATTGGCCGTGACCCAGGGCAACACAAAAGGTATTTTTGTGAAGGGGTTGTAACTTTGAGAACAAACATAGTTTTGTGAGAAGAAAAAAGTGGTTTCTCTGTTTGTTCCTACTCTGGAAGGCATAAGGACATTTATTTGCATCCCAGATGAGGCTTGATCAACATTTTCAAGGCTGCAGTCAAAAACTGCAGAAGGCACACCAGCATAGATAGCAAGGGGCTATTTCACTACAGGAAGAAAGTACTCAGTAGTTTAAGACCTTAATTTCATAAAGCTCTTAAATCTCAGTGGCCTGTCAAGGAAGAGTCTGAATGTTGCAGGAGGAAGCTACTGAAATAATACTGACATAAAAGGAAAAGATTCAGGAGCAGTTTTAATAGGCCTTAGCATACAGATTCTGGAGTAAGTGTAAACTCAGGAAGATTCCCTCTTTCCTTGCTCTGGTGCCTTAGATTCTTTGTCTCTAGGCCAGGTTTTGAGTTAAAACTTAACAGTGTCAGCCATGTATACTACCAATTTTTTTTTTTCCCCCCTTTAAATCAAAACCACTTTTTTATATTAAACTCATCTCATGGGCTAGTGGCTAAGAGCAAAACAAGGCAGTTAGTCGTCTGCTGAAAAATGTGATTGTAGATTTGACAACAGCACAGTGGGAGATACAGGTGCCCTTCCAGCAAACAAAAAGGCCAGTAGCATGCTTCTGCCGGCACCAGCACCGTGTGATGCAGAGAACACAATCCACTCCACATTGCTGTCCGCCGTTAAGCAAGAGGGGGAGAGTGCATTTCACAGCATACACCAAAAAAAGCGTAAGTCTTACTGGTGTGAGAGCCAGGAATGAACCATAAACAGCCATTCTCCTGTGTGGCATCCTCCAGTGCAATCCAGAAGCCCAGGACTCTGCCTAGAGGCTCTGTGTACAGAAACGTGGCATCCTGGTGTGGAGTCACTGAAACAAAAGCCATTAGGTTACTGTCTTTGGAAGCCTGCAGAACTCAAAACTGCTGGAAGGACTGCATGCTTACTTTTGTCTTCTTTACCTTCCCCTTCCACCTATCTAGCACGCACATAAAGCCATACTTCAAAATATCACCTTTCAGCCTGCTGCAGATGAAAAATTAGCCCTTTGGTCATGTCACTCCTGATGTAGAAATATTTCTGGAAAGTGTGGATGCCTTTTCCTATAATTCTTAACAAGATTCAGGACACAAAACACTCGGGCTTTATTCTGATTTTGCCCATCTTTCCTGGTGAAACGTTATCTGCAGCGTAGTGCAGAGGTAATATGAATCTCACCTTCACCACCAATGCCAGGTTGCTGCAAGAATAAGAAAGAAGGTCTGTGAAGAGACTAGTGTCACAGCTTCCCATATAAAAGAGTGTCTTATTTCTTGAGTGACAAGGAGACTTGAATTATTATACCTTGAAGATATACATGCTTTGCACAATTACTGGTTTCTCAAGGCCTAGTTTTCTTCCCAGTTCCTTCAAAACAAAACCAAAAAATTTACAGAATTTATATGTTTGTTTTTTGCACACCACACAGCATTATTCTTAGAAAATATTTAGATTTCCTTTTATAGGCAAAAGGACTCTCCTCAGGAGTCTAGAATATGAACATTAATTATCCCATGATTTATTTTTTTCCAGGCAGTTCTAGGAAACAGTAAAACAGCTTACCTGCACCTTGGAGGAGTGAGTGATTTCCTTGAAGACCGGATCGTAAGCATGTAAAGCTAAAGGGAAAGAAAAGACTCAGACTGAAGATTTCATTAACAGAAGGGAACTTGGATGCTCTCGGGGATGGGCTGCTGAAGACTCCAGGCAAGCAACATAGGTTGCAACCAGAAACTTTCATCCCTCCCAATCATAGATTTGTTATACACATGGCTTATCATCATGCCTAAGGTGATCTGACACGTGCCGATTTGAACAATCTTCTTTAGAGACCAAAAATATAATCATTCACTGGCAGCAAAATGCAGATATATAAGAAATAATAGTGTATAGCTAGGAGTGAAAAAGATCTGAGTACTATATGATTAAATATGATATTACACAAAATTGTAACAGGACAACGACTATACATGACCCTGAGGCAAAAGGGTGGTACTATCTGAATTTACCCTTTGAAAAAAAACACAAAGTTCTTTTGTTTTTTGTAAATGACTGGTTATAAACTCTGCAAAGATGACCTAGGGGTCATCTCTGGTTCCCTTAGGCAGAGAATCACAACCTGCAGGTCAGTGCTGTTTGTGCACATAAATTTTGGTCGGACTACAGCAAGTTTAAGGCAAACACCTTGAATTCTGGTTCACTCTCAGCTGTGAGAGCACTTGCAGCTAGGACAGCGTACTTATTCCGGCAGGGGCTGCTACAGAGCAAGGGAAGAGGCCAGACTCGACTAAAAGGAGTAATTACAGAAAAATAAGTCAAGAGGAGCCTTGAATGGTTAAGCCACTGAGTCAGCAGGCATCTGCAGTTGTTTTCACTTCCTCCGAGGAAAAGCTGAGGTAGAACAGAACAGCAGGGGGGTTGTGGGAAGGTGATTTTCTGCTGAAGAATGTTGTTTTCCTGAGAAAGCCACGGAAATGAGAACTCTCAGTACAGACTTTCCAAGTTCAATGAAGTAAAACCTGGACAAAGTTCATATGATTGGAGATGTACCGAATCCTGCTCATATTTTCCATGTATTGTTTGAAAAGAAAAGGGATGAAAATGCACATTCAGTAGCTGAGAAAGGGGAAACGGGTCATAAACTGACAGTAGGAAGAGTAAAGAAAAGGTGCTGGCAACACCACAGGAGGTAGGACAGCGTTGGCAACACACCATCGCACGGGACACAGAACAGTTTGAACTGTACTGGATGTGACCAATCTTAGGTGGTAAATTTGTTAGACCAGTCTCTTACATAAGAGATACAAGGGCTGAAGTCTAAACTTGCGTGTCAGTGATTCTGTGCTATGCATAACTGAAAAACCTCCTAGAAGTGCTTTCTGAAGAGGGCTTAACTGAAAACTTGGAGTTCTTTTGACACCAGAGGGTGGGATCTCTGCAGTCCTCTCAGCATGGAGAGAATTGCAGAGGGAACGATAGAGGTATATGGGAAAAAGCAAACTGACACATACAGAAATTGAATTGAAGAACTTAATGAAACCAGCATGGGGTTGCAAAGAAAGGAGCTACGTGGCCATAATTACAAGAAGGGGGTGGTTGCATTGCATGCAATGGTCCTGACGGAGCAGTGAGAAGCAGCAGAACACGGAGGAAGTCAGTTCTGTGGCGAGAAAGTTTAAAACTCAGATGACCAAAGTTATTCATACTGGGTAGGTCTAGAGAAATCCTTATTTCTGAAAAACCCATCCCTTTTTTCCACCCCTCTCAAAACACCACCATTTAAACGTACCGTGGCCAATCTTGCTGATAGATTTCTCCTTTGGAATGAGAAAGTTACCTAAGAAAAAAAAGAGAATTTAACAGGGTATGCAAAGCAAGAACAGTCCTCCGAGCTGGAACTCTTTCCTGTCTCTTCCCTCGGCCTCCTCCTGTCCCCTCACTCCACCCACTGTGGCTAACTTAAGTTGGAGCTTACCTCTCTCATCCAAAACGCCTTTTTCAAAGAAGAATCTAATCTTGTCTCCACTGGTTAGGAAATAATCCGAGCTACCCTGCCAGGGATAAGAGCCCATTAAAGACAACCTCCTTATAAATACATGCACGAACCTTCCCAAAGAGTTACTCACCTGCATCTTTTTCCCATTGAGCCGCCGCATAAACAAAACACAGGCAATAGAAATCACTCTTACAAAGGCTTTCCACAGTACTAAGCCTCTCGGCACTGAGCGGCACTTTAGAAGAACGCTGCACACGCAGCTGCACCCTTGTTTTTCTTTTGCCATTTGTCACCATTATAGCCCTGGAAAATAACTTATTCTCTGCCTGTAGAACAGGCAGGGCAAAACCGTCCTCAAGAGCTGCTATGTTGTGGCTGAGGGCACAGTAGAGGCACATCGGTCCTCTCCTCTTTCACCCTCTGATAAAACCACCACCAAACACTGGGTGGCATTGGCCAGCACCATCCTGAGCAGCTAGTTTTAAAAACGTTGTCTTCTGTCAGTTCATCCCAGGAGTTTGCCCTTTCCCTTTCTTGCTCCAGAGCTCTTGCCCTCGGCGGTACCTGCGCCTGGAGCTGCTCCTCCTCTTTGGTGGAGAACTCCGTGCGGCAGTGTGGCGGCACTTCCATCTCAGCTATAACTCTCTGAATCCGATTCCTCATGCTGTCGCACTCCTCCGCGGTGCAGAAACGCTCCAGCACAAGGAAGCCATCCTCGCGGAACTGGAAGAGAGCACTGGAGTTCAGGGGGAAACGGGGCGACCGCGCTCCTCCGGCGCCTTCAGGGAAGGCCGTAAAAAACACGAGAATACATTTCTGGTCCTTCACTGTGCCTCAGCTTATTGTAAGAGTGTCTCAATTTCATCTCTGCACCCAGAGAATAGGTAGTAGACCTTGCTCTTCAGACCATGTATTTGATGAAGGTGTAGTTAATTATACTTTCAGCTATTCTTGTCCAACACAAGCTAACTTTTTACTAATCTGGAACATTTGTTCTTTATGATTTCATCCATTTAGGACAACAATGGACAACATTTAGGGCAATTTAAAAGCTCTTTGTTTTTTATTTCTAGAGGGTTTTCTACTGTATAAAAGATAATTCATTAACAGGCTCAGATTCCATACCGTTGAGAACAACGCATTTCAACTCCTCAGTCTAACTGGCTGAGGAAAGCAGAGAGGATGTAATTGCTAGTGTCTTTGTGGCTTACAGATAGCTTCTCTAAAAGAAGGATGACCAGCAACAATTAAACTCTGCTAAAATGAACAGAGCAGTCATACCTGGGTTGCAAGTTAGAATAAGACTCATCTACAAGCTGGAAAAAGTTATTTTTGCTGAGGTAGAAATCCCTCAGCGATTTCTTGTGGTTGAGTACACAGTCCCTTACAAAAGGAAGTGAACTGTGTTGACACTACTGTTTCTTTATATAGACTACCCTGGAGATTATCCTTTGGCAGGCAGATTTCAGCTTCATGGAAGAGAGCTGAGCAGGAGAGGCAGAAGGGCAAGAGAAAAGAAATTCTTCAGAGCGCTCTGCAGGACAAGCTGCCCTCTGCGAGAGTTCATAGCCGCAACAGGGTCCTCACACACTCAAAATAAATACAATACAAGCAGCTGAGAAGAATATAAAGTCTTTGTAAAGCAGATCTTTGCTAGACCTAATCATTCATCAAGTAATAGTGACCATGTCTTACAAGTACTGTGACCAGCCGGCACTACAAACCCCCAGGGTGCAATTCCTTGGTCTCTTCCCTTACCTTTTGGATCAGATTCTGGCTTACAAATGCCATCAGAAACAGAAGCTCCCAGCACCCCGCCAGCAGCACCACAAGGCCGCCAAGGCTCTGCACAGCTGACTCCTCGCCTCTCCACGTGACCCTTGTAGCAGCATGTGATAAGAGCAAGCACTGGGCAGCTGGACTGCTGCGTGGCCAGAGGAGCTGCCTCTCGAGGAATTTTGTTCCTGACTCCGGCCATTTGTTCCTGGTGGGGACGCTTAGGGCTGCAGAGCTTTGCTTCAGCACTTGGTGCAACCTCAACTCCACAAAAACATTCTCAAGTTTATATCATGCAATCACAAACTTCATTCACTTCTCAACTTCAAGAAGTCACTGTTTTAATAAATAACCCAGATAAGAGACTAGAAGAGTTAAGGTGCAAAAACAGTGGCAGAATAAAGTAAAACAACGTTGGTAAAATAAGATACAAGTGGGACCAAAAAAAACCATATATATATATATATATAAATAAAGGCCACTGAAGAGAGAAACAACAGATTTAAACAAGTGACAATTCAAACCCTTACAGGGCTCTTTTCGCTCAGTCAGCAGACTAGAAGAGTTAAGGTGCAAAAACAGTGGCAGAATAAAGTAAAACAACGTTGGTAAAATAAGATACAAGTGGGACCAAAAAAAACCATATATATATATATATAAATAAAGGCCACTGAAGAGAGAAACAACAGATTTAAACAAGTGACAATTCAAACCCTTACAGGGCTCTTTTCGCTCAGTCAGCAAGTCCTGCTGGCACTTTACCACACTCATCTGCAAGGAAATTCAGTGGCCCAGGAGGTAACAAATATTAGACTGAAGGGGTTAATGCTAAAGGGCTTTTGCTAAGGATTCAGTAAGCTTCTTCCAGAACATATCATCTGACATTTTCATTCACAGCTGCTCTATGGTGATTTATAGCTTCCGTTGCTTGATTTGCTGTCCTGGAGCTCCAAACGTACATGTAAATAGGTAAGCCCAGAGGCACACTTCATACCAAAGACAGAACAAGTTTTTGCACTTAACCTAAAAGGCAGAAGAGAAACAGAGCAAATAGTAGATGCCAACCCAGTGGTGGCGCTCACTGCCAACACATCCTTCCCATGGAACAAGAATTCCTAGGGAAGATTTTTTCCTCTCCAGAGGAAAACACATTTGGCTTTTGTAGGCAACGCAGAAAACATTCCCTGAAAGGACGTACCCCTTTCAGTAGCACTGAAAGGATAGGCAAACCAACAGCATCATGGGGACATTTTCATGCATTGCTTGTGCAGCCAAAAACAAATTGAAGAAGTACAAAATGTTCGTGGGAAAGTATTTACTTCCAAATGCACTTGCTAGCAACTGAAAAATCCATCTGAAAGAAATATTGTTGGGGGGGGGGTGGAGAATAAAGTCCATTACTCTGCAAGGAAATAGACTCTGGATAAAAATCCCTTTCCACATACTTTTTTATGAATAGGAACTAATGTTTTCTAGTGAAAATGCTGAATTTAATTGTTGAACTTTTACAGATTATTTTCAAGCTTTTCTCTGCACACAAGGTATGAATTTGGTAGTTATAAAAGCTAAAGTTTGCAAGAAAATTTAATGACTGGACTACAAAGGTGGAGGGGCAACAATCAACCCCCAATGCTGCAAAACTCAAGAACAGTCACAGCAGAAGTCCCTCCGTCCTGTTACAGGGGTCTCACCAACACGAAGATGAAGCTGAACTGTTCCTTAGAAAGTTGCGTAACCAATAGAAAAAGCTTGCTGTAGCTATCGCCTGCAAGGAGACCTTGAAAAGACCTCACCGCTCATTACATCACCCTGCTTGGGAGGACAAGCATACCTTTTACATGTGCTCCCATGCCACTCCTCAGTCTGCAACCTGTGTCATATGTTTTTTAACGTCACATACTTCTCATTCTCAGTGTTTTTCAGTAGTTTAGCTCGTCATCTCTTCCACTCCCCACCTTACACATACCTGACAACTTCAGGAACTGTTCTAGCACGTAAGCTTGACCCTAAGCCACAGATTTCCTGTTCAGTCTACAGATTGCTTTACAAATGAGCTGTATAAACAGCAGATCATAACACATCAACACAACAAGCATTAGAAGACAGCTGGCTGTGTAAACCAGGAAAGGCAGCCCATCTTGGTTACAGGAACATTCCTCAGGGAGCATTCTCAGGCTTCCTCCAGTCCTTTGCCCTGCCAGACACGCTCTACTTTGAGGCTTAGAAAAGAGTGTTTCAGCAAGAAGAGCCCCTCAAAAAGTTAAAAAGAATGTCATCTTTGTAAATACCTTATTTTCCAGTAAGTTTAAATAAGAAAGGCAGAAAGTAGGCAGACAAAACTGGGAAATGGCCCCCTTTTCCTT